CTCTCTATCATATTTTCAAGAGAGACGAATAAAGGAGATCCATCAAGGCTCTTTCCAATTCAGAAGCTGTAGAAAAGCTCAAAGAATCTGGACTGTATTCTACTCCATGAGTTATAATCATCACTTAAAAACTTCTTAATACCTATCAAGTCATTGTTTGTTGGACACATTGAAATTGATTATCATTTCTAGGCCGGCATGAATTGATTATTTGAACCTTTTTTTTCTTAATTAAAAAAGCTAATTTTGCAATTTATTTTTGTTATTGAGTAATTTGTTTAGGAGTTGTGATATCCATATGATTTTATAAGTAATGTTTGGAATAGCATAGGATAAAATTTTCATGATAGGATTAGATTAGTTACGATGAGATGAGATCAATTTAAAATAATGACATGTTTAGTTAACTACCCAAATAAAAAAGGGATTAGATAAACATATTTATCTGAAAATAAAATCTAATATTTGAGATTTTATTACTACCTTGTAAGCCCGTGGGATACAATCTAATCTCAACTAATCCCACGGGGTAGGTGTAAATTTTATTTAGACTGGACAGAAAATAGGATAAACACTATCCTATCTTGTAAGTCCCCAAACGCTGGAAGCAGTAAGATAGGAAAAAAAATTTTGTCCTATCCCACCGTTTATCCTGAACTCCAAACGAGCCCCTTTAGATGCTGAAGTTTCATGCCTGTTTCTTCATTCCATAACAATGTGGAATAAAAAATGTCCAATCTCTGTATTTAAATGTTGGGTTTTGACTTTTTTGGTTTTTACTCTTTGCCCCATCTATCATTTCCCCAACTTTCAATACTTCTATGCTAACAAAAATAGAAGAACCAACCACCTAACTTGCCAAAAAAGAAAAAAGGTACTTGGTTTGTACGAGAACTTCATTTCTTTTCCTCCCTACTACTACTACTACTAATATTATTATTATTATTTAAACATAAAAAATAAAAAAATAAAGATAATTTAATTATTATTACAAAAAATAAAACCTTAATAAATATCAAAAATTTAACGCACCTCAATCAAAGGATGAAAAGTTGCCATAGGTGCTTTTCCTTTTTATTATTTTTTTTAATAAATTTACAAAAAAAAATCAAGTTTAAATCATTACCTTAAAAAAAAAAAAAATACACTTAAACATAATTTAATGACATTGATATGAAAGCACAAATGCTTTCCTTCCTATTGTTTGACAAAAAGAAAAGTTGAACTTTGTATTCAATTGTTGCAGTTTGCTGTTGTTATCTGACTTTTATTTTGTATTATATTGTTGACTGAATAATTTTCCTGAGGTTAAAAAAAGGCACTTGGTTTGTACGATAATTTTATTTCTTTTCCTTCCTCCTATTATTATTATTATTTAAACATAAAAAATATGAAAAAATAGAGATAATTTAATTATTATTATAAAAAATAAAATCCTCATAAATTTCAAGAATTCAATGCAGCTTAATCGAGGGGGCTGCAGGAGCTTTTCCTTCCTATTATTTGACAAAAAGAAAAGTTGAACTTTGTATTCAATTGTTGCGGTTTGCTGTTGTTATCTGACTTTTATTTTGTATTATATTATTATTATATTGTTGACTGAATAATTTTCCTGAGGTTCATTCTACTATAACTATGTATCGGTTTCTATCTCTTGATGCATCTTCTTTAAACAAAAATGGAAGAACCGTCTACCTATCTTGCAAAAAAGAGGTACTTTGTTCGTCTGAGAGTTTCT